CCTTGGCCTTGAAAAGGTCGGGATCCGGATAGGAGAGCAAATGTGTATGAGGCCCTGAAAATGACAGAATTTGTTTAACAAACAAATCCAGTTAAGTGACCAATTTACATGAAATTTTCATGAGGCCCTGAAAAGGTCAGAGTCTGATTAAGAAAAGTGAAAAGGGGGGGGGGGGGGTTAGTTCAACTTACTGAGAGAAATTCTTTCTGATGGGTCAATGCTTATTAGGCTCAAGTTTGTATTGCCCCATGTCCGAAAGGTGTGCTCCAACCCGAGTGGCATTCAGCAAACAAAGTGAAAAATGATATTATTATTACTATTATCATTATTATTGTTATAATTATTAGAACCAAACCCTCGATGATTGAGGAAACTAGTGAATGAAATGCCCTCTTAAGATGCTTGCCCGGTTGCCAGGGATGGACATCTGGAATTATGTCAGACTCCTGTCTTCGTTCTTAAGACTGTATGTTATCATGGGGTAAACTTTACATGAAGGTTTGAATCATGGTCTTATATACTACCGAGGAGACTGAATTTCCAAGATGAAGCCATTTATTTTGTTTTTGGAGGATTTCTTTATTTACACTCAAATATACGGCAAGTTGTCATGTTAGCCTCTAAAATAACCGATGCCCAAGATCATTATTTAATTGACTTATATTATAAAATGCGTTCTTCTATTTCAACCACTGGTCCTAAAAACATTAGGATTTTATAAGCATGTCTAAGCTAGTGTGCATTTTTGAAACTCAGATATATATATATATATAATATATACATTTTATGTTTTATCTTGTTGTGAGTTCAGATGTATTACTTAATAGTCGCCACCGAATTGTTGAATGATTAAAGTAATTCAGTCTATTTCGCCAGTAACTCGTAATTCCAGTGTATTTGTTCATCTTTATAGCTCGTATTTATCTTTAGAGAACTACTACTAGGCAGCTGTCAGCCTTTATCACTATCATAACAGGTGGCCAGGATGTATTTGCTATGGTGAGGGCATAATTACCCTCAGCAGTAGGGTCAGGGATTGTAAGCCTCTATCAACTGCTTAATTAAGGGACCAGCCTCAGTTAATAGGCCATAGAAGGGTCATAAAGCTAGGTTGTAATTTTAATTTAAATCAGAGAACAGGAGACTTTTCATGGAGCCTTGTTACTTGAAAATGGGTCAGGAATACAAGACATGTTTTTACGATTAACTTGGGTGGGAAAGTTTTGCAATATCCTACTGAAAGCTGAAAGAGAGAAGTCCTAAGAAAATGAACAGAGGACATTGAATATGATAACAAGGCAGCAAAGCTGTCAAATGTACAGACAAAAAGCAGGAAATAACAAAATAGGCTACTGTCAATTCTGATGTAAAAGTACATTACCGTATGTTAAACTGCAAATTCAACATCAAATTTTAATTATGCTCAACAGGTAATAGGCCTACCAATGTAAGTAAAATGTGTAACAAGCATAAGGCTTCAGGCCCATGGGAGTTCAAGTTCACACTTTGAAAATGTAAAACTTCCAGAAAAAGAAGTCAATTAGACTGCTTTTCCAACTCGAGCTGCATTTTAGTCCTGTGTTTCTTTTTTAAAAGTTTGACAATCATAAGTAATATGGTTTTCCCATGATGGTCATCATGGCAGCAATACCCAAAATTGTGTTTTCTTCTATTTTGATGCAATATTTCATAATGCTTAACAGCATAAAGACCATCAGTTTTTAATAATAAAATATACGTATCGTGGATTTTCAGAAAATGTGACTAGCATGGGTCTTCAAGCCCAAGGTGGTTCTAAGTCACACCTTGAAATTGCCAATATGTGAAAAATTAAATTTTCACAAAAAACTGATTAACTGCCAGAAAAATTTACCAAATAGACTGCACTGCCTAATGAAACTGTATTTTAGTCCCATGTTTCTTTCCTGTAAGTTTGAGAACAGTAAGTGACATAGTTTTCCTTAAATGGTCATCAAGGGAGCAGTGTCCAAAATAGGGGTTTCTTCAAATTTTGATGCAATATTACATAATGTTTAACAG